TTTTTATGACATATATTCCTTGGATTTTGATGATAACAAAGTATTAAAAGAACAATGGTTATATTTGATGTGTGCTTCATGTATGCAGGTTCTAATACTTATAGATATATATATTTAGAATCTGATATATAAGGGCACACTTGAGAGAAGTTGAATTGCTAGCTTTTGGTGGTGCAAAATCTGAAAAACACTCTTCTAAGTGATGTCTGGCATAGACTCTGAAGCTAAAGGTCTTAGCACCAGAAGAAGCAACATAGCTGTCTCTACACTCGGTCAATGTAAATTGGCTTCTGGTGATCATTCAGAGTTAGTGATAAAGCTGAAGCTATTCGTACTGCAGAAAGCAAGCTGCATTGTCAAATCAGTTTGTCAGCTAAATTCTTAGTTCATAAGGCTCAAGAAAAGTTGGCATGTTTCACAAATATCTACTCTTAACATCTCTATAGTACATGATCTCTTTGAAGACTCAATGGTTAAACACGTTACACAATAGATCAAGATCTTTTGATGTATCTATCTTCAAAGTCTCGTACTATGGAGAAATCAAAGACACTTGATCAAGTTATCTCTCCAATGGCTAATCTTTTGTAAATACTATATAAGTAGATGAAGGTTCAAATGGAATCTTTAACAAGGATCAACCTGATGGAGGAGTAACAAGATCAACAATTATCAACACAATCGAGTATGTAGAATTTTTGTTGTTGGTTGTAATTGTAAAAGCCTTAAGATTTCTTAAACATTGAATATCTTAGAAATCTTAAGAGCTCTAGGTCTTTGTTATGGTGATTTTCCTATACCTCTGATATTTGTATCAAGTACACCTTGTTGTTTATTCTACTAAACATGTTGTTTAGCAGTTTAGATTAAGTCTCTCACCAAGAAGCTTGTGCCATGTAAGTCTTCTGTTATGTGCTAGAGCATTGAAAGTCTTAATCAAGTGGATTGATTGAGCAACTAAGTATCTCACCAAGTTGCTTGAGCCATGCAAGTCTCTTGTTATGTTCTAGAGCAATAAAAGTCTTAATCAAGTAGATTGATTGAGCAGAAGTCTTGAATTCATGGGATTTAACTAAGGAAGTCTCAGATCGAATGTCTGAGTAGAAGTCTTGAACCTGAGGGGTTTAAGCCAAAAGTCTTGGGTTCGTGGAACTTGTGCAGGGAAGTCTTAGACCGTGGGTCTGAGCAAGAAGTCTTAGGCCTGAAGGACTTGAATAGGAATTCTCGGGTCTAAGGGACCTGAGCAGGAAAGTCTTAGGTTGAGGGTCTAAGCAAGGAAGTCTTGAGTCTATAGGACTTGAGCAAGAAAGTCTTGAGCCTTAGAGGTTTAAGCAAGAAGTCTCAGACTTAGGGTCTAAGCATTGTAAAAGTCTTATGCATAATGCATAAGCAATTGTAATCATGATTTTATTATAGTGAAAATCTCTTGTGAAGGAAGGGGATTGAACTACTCTCATTTGGGAGAAACCAATATAAATCTTTGTGTCTTTAGCTATTATTTATATGCTTATGTTAACATTCCACTGCTAAGTATAACCAGAATCTGAACACCAGTTTAGATTCTGAACTCTGATTAGACGCAAATTAAGAAAACGAAAAATACAATTCAACCCCCCTTCTTGTGTACTTTTCTCACCTTTAGTTGGTATCAGAGCATGGTATGTACATAATACTTAATAGTGGTGCAAATCATGATCTAATGAGAAAAGTATGCCTATTAAGTACTTTCTTTCAAGAAAGAATCAAGTGGCACATGAAAAGTATTACATTGTTTTTCCTACCATATTCAAAGGGTGGTAACGCAAAATTTAAATGATGAAAAAGTTAAGTATATTTTTAATTCATTGGACTTGATAAAGGGTTTTGCTAAGGTCTATAGGATACCCTTGAAAAATGTATTACTATAGAAGTTGATGGTGTAGGGACGATCAGTGTTTGAAAGTCTCTCTCACCAACTTAGAAGAAGCTTATTGAAAATATCTTTAGAGGTAGATTCATTCTGGTAGGTGCTCTATCTCGATTATGAGTATATCAACATCATTGATATGTCTAATGCTCATACTATCTTTGAATCCTTGTGCTCATATTTATGGGAATTAGTTATGAAGCTTGTCCAGTTACACTTTATTTAATCCTTCTAAGAAAATTCTAAGAAGATTGTTTTGAATTCAAACCTGAGGTCACAATTATTCAAGAAGTCATACAACTTAAGTTTACTGTCCCTTGTAGGTTTATCTTGCAATCTTCAGAATATGATATACAAGGGCACACTTGAGAGAAGCTGAATTGCTACCTTCTGGTGGTTCAGAATCTGAAGAATACTCTCTAAGTGATGTCTGGCATAGACTTTGAAGCTGGAGGTTTCAGTATCAAAAGAAGCAACATAATTGTCTTTACACTTGGTGAATGTAAATTGACTTCTAGTGATCATTCAGAGTTTGTGATAAAGCTAAAGTTATCCATACGGTAGAAAGCAAGTTGCATTGTCAAATCATTTTGTCAGCTAGAGTCTTAGTTCACAAGGCTAAAGAAAAGTTGGTGTACTTTACGGATATCTACTTTCAACGGCTCTATAGTACAGGTTCTCTTAGAAGACTTAATGGTTAAACACGCTACTCTCAACAACTCTATTATTATTATTATTATTATTATTATTATTATTATTATTATTATTATTATTATTATTATTATTATTATTATTATTATTATTATTATTATTATTATTATTATTATTATTATTATTATTATTATTATTATTATTATTATTATTATTAGGACTAAATATGTTTTTGGTCCCTATAAATATCACACTTTTTCTTAGCCCCTATAAAAAAAAGATATATTTTAGTCCCTACAAAAATTTTATGCATGCAATTTTAGTCCTTACTATTTTTTAAAATTTTAAAAACTATTTAATTACCCCTAAAATTTTAAATTTTTGAATAATTTTTTTTATACGTGTTTAGATTACTATAAAATGTTTCTTTATCAAATTATATAATTTTTAAAAATGAGAAGAATTAAATTTGAATTTTTTAAATTTCAAAAGATAATGATAAAAATAATAAAAATCTCGACTTATAAATCAAATTTTGAGTTCATTTTTTTTCGAGGAATTTTTTATAACGTTCTAAACATATCTGCAAAGTAATCATTTAAAAATACATATTGCTTTAACAATAGAGACTAAAACTACGTGCATAATTATTTTGTAGGGACCAAAACACGCTATTTCTTTTATGGGGAACAAAACAAAAGTTAGTAATTTTATAGGGACAAAAAAACATATTTAACCCTTATTATTATTATTATTATTATTATTAAGAAGTTATTTTTATTTTTTATTCTTGGTTCTCTGTTTTTTTAATGCATTTACTTCATTTTAAAGCTATATCTTTATTTTTTTATTGATGACAAATGAGGAGAAAACGATATAATTTTTATATTTTTTAAAACCATAATAAATTCCAAACATGCTAATATCATGCGATTACTTTGTATACTTCAATTTTTTTTAGTCTTAATCTTTGGAGGGCTTACAAACCTCACTCTGAAGAAGCTGAGAAAATTTTAAATAACTATAAAACTCATGGGGAGCTTACAAACCTATCTCTGATGTTTTATAGATGTTATTATCTAGTAGAAATTGTTCATCAAAATACATGAATTTGTCATCATCAAAAAGTGAGAGATTGTTGGAACAACTTTGATTCTACAACTATCCTTGAGTTTTGATGATAACAAAGTATATAGAACGATTTTGTACTCTGACTAATTTTCTATGTGCGCAGATAATAGAAAACAGATTCTGACTATGAAGACTACCTGACTCTAAACAAAAGATGCACTCTGAACCAAAGGATCAATCAAAAGTGTGTTTACCAGAAAATCAAGCATATGTATTGCCAAATCAACGCTTCTGCACAAAAACTATCCAAATAGACTCTAATAAAGACTATGACTATTCAAGTATCTGAAGTCTCAGAATTATGAACTCCATAGACTCTGAAGTCTCATTTTCACAAGGTTCTGAAGATAGGTTATGAACTCTACTTAAGCTTCATCAACTTTAAAATGAAGCCTCTGACTAGAAGTTTACATCCAAAAGTCAACGATTGATTGAGGTGGGCGAAACACATAAGCAAAATCTACTTTCTATTAAAAAGGATTGTACTATGTACCTACGAAGTTTCTCACGTCCCATCATCTTTACCAACTTTATGCTGTAAGCACCACTCTAACGTTGTAAAATGAAACGACCTTCATACAACTGTTACATTGAAGATATTTCAACTTCACCCTCCAACATATCTATTCTTCCCTCTATAAAGAGGTTTTAGAAACTTGAAAAAATATAAAAAAGATAATATTCAACACCGCATAAGGTTGCAAAACGCTCTTACGTGAAAAGAAAAAGAAAAGTGTTTTCGCTCTAAAAAACTAGAACGTTCATACACGTTTGAACAATTTCTTGAAATATTTCTTAAGAGTATTATTTGTTTTAAACTTGTGTATTTGTTTATTTAGAAGGATCTTATAAACACAATTTTGTTTATCTTAATTTTTGGTTAATTTTTTTTAAATACTAAATTTAGTCCAAATTCTCTTTGGCGATTAGTCTTTAAAATGTATTTTTTTAAAAATTAAGTTATAATCAAAATTTTAAATTTTTAAAAAATTGAAATTATTATAATCAATTTGATTATTGAATTAAATTTTCATTAAGAAAGACAAAATCTGTAAATCAAAATAAAAATACACATGTTATTTTTCTTTATCTTGATGTTTTGTCTGAGTTGTTGGGTTGTATAAAATTTTAAATTTAGAACAGCAATTCAAACTCCCTTTTTCTTTTGTTTCCAGATCCATCAAACTTGTAGTTAGCCGTTTCAATTCCACCCTAACATTTACATCCCTAGCATTGTTGAACAAGAAATGAAAAAGAAGGATTTGAAGAGAGAAATGAAGAAATCATAGTTGGAGAAGAAGAAAAAGCAGACATGAATCCGTTCGACGGACAGAGGCTAAGAGATGAAGTAATCTATCTACATTCTCTCTGGCACCAAGGCCCTCCTCAACAACCAAACCCTTGTCATCGAATTCCTTTTTCATCCTCATTGCAACCTCTCCTCCATCGTCATTCATTTGCACCCTCCCACACCAGATCCCTCCTCCCCGTCCCTTCCACCGCCTTCAAGAAAAACCGGAAGAAGAAGAAGAAGAAAGAACCAAAACCCGATTCACCGACCTGGCCGTGCCCCCATTCATCAGACTCGCCTCAAACAGGTTGGCCCGAACCGAAGCCCCAATCGGATCCTCCTCCTCCTCTTCAACCTCAAGAGAAAGAGAGGCTTTCTGCGTTAGAAGTGCAAAACAAGGTTTGCAAAGCTTTCAGGGAATTTCTGAGTGGTTCCGGTTCCGATGACGAAGAAGACAACGATGATGATGATGATGATGACAGTGATGGTAGGTTGGGAGAGTTTGAGGAGTTTTTCATTAGGGTTTTCATGGAAGATAATGAACTGATGCGGTATTATCAGAGGTGTTTCGAGAATGGAGAGTTTTGCTGTTTGGTTTGTGGTGCTGCCGAGAAGAAATCTTGGAAGAAGTATAAGGATTGTGTTGGTCTTGTTCAACATTCCATCTCAATTTTGAGGACTGCCAATAAAAAGGCTCATAGGGCTTTTGGGCAGGCTGTGTGTAAGGTTCTGGGTTGGGATATTCATCGCCTTCCGACTATTGTCATTACTGGGGAGCCTCTTCGGTGTTCAATTGAGGTAATGTTAATGTGTAATTAAGAAAATAATAGTGATTGAATTTAGTGCCATGTGTTGGTCTTCTGACGCAATTATGTGTAAGACACTTGACCTAGGTTACCCGCTAAACCCCCAAAATGCTATATCGGAATAGCGGATAGTGAGATGACAGTTATTTTGAAGACTAAAAAATAATGTAAATGGTAAACATAACTTTCAAAAACATGCATATCCCATTAAAATGAGTTCTCTTCAAAATCAAATTATAAAAGTATTCAAATGACTAAACCAAGTTCTAAAGGTAAACAAAATGAAATTTCTAAATCACATCCGTGTTTGTCTCATCTTCACTTCTAAGTTTCACCACATTTGTATTATCTTGTTCATAACATATTCAAACTCTTCTTTTTTCACCTCCAACTCCTCATCTCCATTAGACACTGTTGTAGTAACTCTAGATTGATGTCTAGTCACTCTTGTTGATTCATTAGCCCCAACTGCATTACCAACAACTTCCTAAAACCAAATCATTTTCCAATATTTTATTTGCACTCTTATTTTTTGCAACCATCTCATTTTATTGCAACCATTCATAACATTCATCAATATTGTTGAGAATAGGATCACTTAAATCATTGCTATTAACGTGGTCTATAAGAGAAAGAAGAGAGGAGAAACAGAGCAAGGAGTTCAATATTAAGTTGCTAAACTTTGAAGAGAAACAAAGCAAGGAGACACAGAACAGATGAAAAAGTCGGGGGAGAATGATGAAGAAAATGAAAAAACGGTGGAACTGAAAAAGCATAAGACGTGTAGTTAAATATTAGGTCAATAAAAGGGTGGGAAAGATAAATGTACCCTTAAAGAAATATTAAAGTTTACAAATTTTCCCCAAATTGAGATCAATATACCCTTAAAAAACTATTAGGCTGGCCGCTATGACAGCTATCGACGATAGCGCTTCGCAGGCCAATAGCATAGTGGTGAGGAACCGTGCTGCCACGCTATGCTGCTATACCATGCTATTGACAGCCTAGCACTTGACACACCTTCAATCTAAAGTGTTGTGCTACATCTGCAGTCTAATTTTGAAGTGGTTGAACAGTGATGCCAGAAGAGGATAGATGTTGATGGCAGTAGCTGTGGCAAGTGCACAGGAGATTGACAATAAAAGAAGATGGATTGTTGGTGGGTGGTGGAAAAGAAAAAGAAACTGTAAATCTGGCATTTGGTTTGATTTGAACTTGGGTCCAGAGTCTGGTCACACACACACGTGCGCGCGAACTGAGTCAATGAATGTGCTAATGAAATACATGGAACTTATTAGATGGGTTGCAAACAAGTGTGGTTTTGCACATTATGGTTTGTTTGATTGTTGGGTTGGATTTTCGGGATGATTGGGTCAGACCCTAGCCCATGAACACCCCCATTTGGATTGATTCAGAGTGAAGTGGATCAATCAATATTTTATATATACTCTTCTAATTTATCTATCTATCTTGGGGTTTATGTAGGTGATTATTGTTGCAGCAAGAAGTGATCATATTTGATTAAGATTTTGAACTTGGAATACTAAATTTTGAACTTCTAGATAATCCTGTGGGTTAAGGCATTAAAGGAATGTTTCTTAGATCCAAGCAACATACGAATAAGGGTTAGGTGAATACGAGGGTATTCTTAGATCCAAGCAGATACAAGGGATTAAAGAAATCTCAATAAGGATTACGCGATTTCGCCTGTTACGAAGGGTGCGTTGTTGCGGTCGTCACAATGTTAATTAATCACGACATTGCATAAATCTTATTGAATCTATTTGTACTATCATATAATGTATAATAACTTAAACTAAAATGTTTTTCGTTATAATAGAATGTTCAAAATAAACTAGCTGAGTGAAGCGATGAAGCCTAGAGAGAGAGAGCCAGAAATCAGATAAGAGAACAAGTCTCAAGTTTAGTGAGAGAGAAAGAGTTAAAAGAAGATAAAGTTATCTAATTTATGTTTAGATATCTACTAAAAACGGGGGATTCTGTCTATTTCTATGAACAACATTATGTCACATCTGTAATGGTGTTTTGCCGTGTTTATAATGGCACTTCGTCGCGGCTATAACAACAATTCAATGTGGAATTTTTTCCCGCCCTGTTGTAATAGAGAAAAACGGTATCGAATGCTCTTGATACCATTTTTTTGCGGCTTATATCATGGTGAAAAACCTTTTTTAAAACATTGCACCTGAACTCGTAAGGCTGAAACAACTCAATGAAGGGTTAAATTTTTGGGTTTAGATTATGAGGTTAATGTGTGATAGTCAGGTGACTCTCGCAATAGCATCTAATATAGACTTTCATGATCGAACAAAGCATATAACGGATATGTTTGGATTGAGAAATTTAAACTTATCTACTGATTTAAACACTCGTGAGACTGTTTGAAAGAACTTATGAAAACAACTTATGACATGTTTTTAAGCTATTTTCAACTTATATTGTTTCAACCAGCTCTCTAGGATATTCATAAAATCTTCGATGTTCTCTCAAGCGATGATAAAGTTGGAATATGACTGTTGAAAAAAAATTGGTTGAAATTTTAACAACTTCTTAGTTTATTATATTTGTTTGTATTTATTGTCTTGCAATGTTAACCACTATATAGTTTGTGTTCATATATTTAATCACACTCAACCATTGATTTTTCAATCAACTTTTAGCCTGTTACGTTATTCTCTAAGATCTTCTTGACAACTTCAAAGGGAGTTAGTATGTTGAGTCACTTGGCAACTTCAAACATCAATTTATTCGGAACGAATACTTTTTGGGACAAAAGTAAAACAATTAACTTGTTTGATTGATAAATGATTTTGGTTTGTAAGGAGTTCGAAACATTGCAGGGTGAGCCTAAGAAAAGTGTTGCTGCTGCTGATGATGGAAAGGATGGTTCCAGCAAAACAGAAGATATAGCCGTGTCTTCGGAGCATGTAAAAGGGGCTGATGAGAGTATTGGTGAGGTTAGTTGTTTAAAAGTCTGTTTTTATCTATTTAGTCATGTGAAAAAGAAAAGCTAGAAGTAGACTAGTAGTCCTAAAACTGTTTGAGCAGTTTGACGTTTTGGTTCTGTTTGCAGTGTTCTTCCAAGGAAGGTGATATTGATGCAAAAGTGGTGGATATTGGTTTGGAAAATGGAGAAGGAGGAGCCAAATGAGATGCGACAAAGTCAATATATGGAGAACTAGAATACACTGAACTTATTAATGGACATAACTATAAGTTAATTTGATCTGTTCAACTATTCGCATCACTAACTAATATAAATAGGATCAGAGTTTGTGAGAAGCCGCCTCAAATTTGAGATGGTAAAATAGATTATTCGATTTTAAATGGGTTGATTTTGGCGACCCGATGTATGATTTTTAAATGAATCAATATAAATATCAGTATAATTTTTAGAATTTTTAGTTATGAGTCAAACAAATAACTTGTGACCCATACGAGATACAAATATTTTAAGGTCATACTAAGAAGTTTTTACAAAATTTAGACTCTAATTTTTAGGAGTAAATCCTATATTTTTATCGGAATTTTTAAGTCAGTTTATATTGGTTAGTCCATTTTGATAGTTCTACGTAAAGGGAATTACTCTTTTCACTCTTATGTGTGCATACCACACTATTGAAATATGAAAATGCACTCTATGCTTCCGAAAAATCTACTTTTAACGCACCCAAAAATCATACCGATTTTCATTTTTCTAAGATCCATTCCAAATTGAAAAAAAAAAGTTCAAAGATGCAACTTTGTATATTATTTGGGTGTATTCGAACATGCATCTCCGAAATATTTCATGTACTCAATTATGGTGTTTTTATTCAATGTGCCGATTAAATTAACGACTTGGTGATATTTTCAGAGATGCATATCCAGAAATGTCAAGCGGAAAATTAGATAAAACACCACTGTGTATGATCTTCTTCTTTATGTTAAAAATATTCTCCGTTTTCAAAACCCTTAAAAATTTCTCTCATTCTCAATCAACTTTTCAACACCAAAACATCATTTTTGTATTTCATCACATTAAAGGGAGCAAAAGAAATTGGAGTTGCACGTAAAGTTCATTCATTTCATTCTTCATTCCTTGCAATGATATGGTTTTTGAACTGAAAAAAAGAACGTTGAGTCCGGATATGTGTCTCTGGACAAAGTTTGGTGTGATCTGGAGATGCATATTCAGATTTTCTTGATAATTTTAATTTAAAAGCCATTTTTTTCTTCTATTTTTGGTGTAATTAGATATGGTGCACCCATATATGTTTCCCAAATATGTTGTGAGTGTAGATGCTAAACTGGTTGAAGTGAGGCATGATGTTAAATCAGATGAAGTCAATGATGATGTTAAACTAGATGCTCGACTGGTCGTTGTTGAGGTAGATATTCATGAAAAAATTACGAATAAACAATAGTTTATTGTTCGTGAACATATGTTACAATGGGTCCACCTGGAGGCCGAGAAATTGGAGTTTGAAGTTTTAATTTGAAGGTCTGATAATGGTTCGGATAAAAGACAAGCATGTGTAACAATGAGATGCGAAAGAAGTGGCACGTACCAACCACGAATTAGGATGTTGAAACAAGATGAAACTGGATCGAGAAAATGTGAGTGTGCATTTAAATTGCGTGGATACCGTATGGTGGATGAAACATAGAAATTTAATGTGATTTATGGTATACACAATCATGCCTTAAGTGACAAGCTAGCTAGTCATCTCATTGTATGCCGCCTTGTTCCGGAAGAGAGAGAACTTATTTCAGACATGACATTAAAGATGGTGGCATCAAAAATTATACTCACATCTTTGAAAAGGAAAAGACCTCTAAATGTTTCAAATATCAAGTAAATATATAACGTGTGTGCTCGAGACAACATGGTGGTAAGAGGATCAAAATTTGGTATGCAATAACTGTTGAAGCTTTTGGAAGATGACGACTATGTTTTGAGGTACAAATTTTGTGAGGAGAAAGTCATAGTTCGAGATATATTTTGGAGTCATTTCGATTCCATCAAATTGTTCAACACTTTTCTCTTTGTGCTCATAATTGAGTCAACATACAAAACAAACAAGTATAAACTTCCACTCTTGAAACTTATTGGTGTTACTTCTACGAAAATGACTTATTCAGTCGATTTTGCAATTTTGGAATCCAAAAAAGAGAAAACTATTACATGGCCTTTGGAAATGTCCAAGACTATGTTGAAGGACAAAAAAAATGTGCTGCGGGTAATAATCACGGATCGTGACACCACAATGATGAATTCGGTTGCAACAGTATTTCCTACATCGTCTATATTACTTTGTAAGTATCACATAACAAAAAATGTGAAATCGAGTAAAACCTACGGTTGACACGAATCAAGCTAAACTAGAAGATGAAAAAATGATAAAACTTGGTATGGTGGTGAAAAATATAATAGATGATGGAATGATATAATAACTGGGTATGATGATAAAGTTTTATGCTATTATAACTTAGTGTAAAATTGTGAATTATGGTAGAATTAATTAGACTTTTATTAATTAAGTATTTTTATTTGAGTTTAGAGTTATTAATTTAATTTCATTAAAATTTTTAAGTTATTGATTTTATTTAGAATTATTAATAATTTTAGTTAATTAAAATAATAGAAATATGAGAATATGAGTTTTGGAGCGATGGATAAATATTTTAAATAAAATAGAGAGGTGGGTAGAATTATTTGTGAATGGAAGAGAAATAGTGAGAATTAATAAAATAAAAGAGAAATTAGATTTTTATTTATTTATTTATGTTGGGAGAGAATTAGTCAGTACGTGAAAATTTAAGAAAAAGGCAAAGTAGGAGAAACCCTAGGAGAGCTATTGGAAAGGGAAGAGAGAAACCTCTATTTTTAAAGCTTCAAGTTTCTTTGAATTCAAGGTAGGGGAGAATTGTTCATATTTGGGTGTTTTAAGCAGATGGATAGTGAGGGTTCCTTACCTTCCTTCCTTCTCTATTTTCTTTTTCTCTGTGATAATGTTTGAGACCATAGAAGGGGGATTGACAATTTTGTTTCATGTGTAACTTGAGTTTTGTAAGTTCGTTTGAGGTGTCGTCAGTTGTGTTAGAAATCTAACTCAATAATCTTTATTTTAAAGTGGGGAAATTGGGTCTAGAAGTGCTACAACAGTAGCAGTTCTCTGATTTTTATACCAGAGGCAGTCAAATTTCAGTCATGTGTTGGTTATCTTGTTTCATGCGTAACTTGAGTTTCGTAAGTCCGTTTAAGGTACAATCAATTGCGTAAGAAAGAGGGTCTAATGATCTTTTGAACTGCAGAGTTTCATAATTTTATCATAAGTTTATAGTGTTTGATGCTATTTTGAAGTCAGACATTTTATTTTAGAGTTTATGCAGAAAATATTGTGATATGGTTTAATAGACACGAATAGAACTAGAGTTTTGTAACTCCAATCGAGATGCAATAAATTGTGTTTGAAAGAGGGTTTAAAGATATTTTATAATGGAGAGTTTCATAATTTTATCATAAGTTTATAATGTTTGGTTCTATTGTGGAGTGAGACAATTTTAGAGTAAAGTCTATAATATTTTAGAAATTTAAGGAATTAAATATATTTATAAATAAATTTAATTTGAGTTAGTTGATATGTTTTAGTGTTGATTTAATTTAAGAGAGTTGAGTTTGATATGTTTTAGAGTTGTTTTGAATTAAGAGGGATGAGTGTTGATGAGTTAAGGTTTAGATGTGATACAAGCCAATGTTTAGCCAAAATGGGCAGTGACTAGCGTATTAATGAGTTGAGTTTGAGGTATTTGGTATGTTTAGAGTTGATTTTGATCTATTTGATATTTTTTAGAGTTGAGCCTAAAAAGTTTAGAGTTGAATTTGAGTCTTTGACGTGTAGAGTTGAGTTTGATGTGTTTAAAGTTATGAGTAAGTTATTGAGTTACGTTGATGTGTTTGGAATGTTGTGTGTGTCAAGATGGTTGTGTTTTGAGTCATATGACATCTTCATAGTCGATTTGATGAGTATTTGAGTTATGGTTAAAGTATGTCTTATGACTCATAATCATTGAATAAAAAGTGGAAGAGTTAGTCGTGAACTCTATTGAGTTATGAGTTGAACATGCTGAACATTGATGGTTGCATAGTGTTGTTTTTACTTTGTTGGTAAGTATTGTTGAGTAATTATATAATTATATGTATTGTGTTGAGTTGTAATTATGTATATCATTGTTGAGTTACATTGAGATGTGTGGTTCAGAGAGGAACCACTGTTGTGGCCTTATATTGTCAATATTTATATATTATGTGAATTATATCGAGGTTCTTGGTTCAGAGAGGAACCATTCGTTGTGGCCTTGTATTGGCGATGTACGAACTTTGGTCTAGTGATGAGTTAATGGTTCAGAGAGGGGATCACTAACGAGTCTGGGACTTCAGTTTGATGACGTGTTTTAGGTTCAGAGAGGAACCTGAGACGAGTGTTGGAGTTATAGGCTAATATGAGCATTGTATTTGTATTTTTATATTTCATTCATGCATCATGTATATCAGAGATAGGTGTACGGACTTCGGTCCACAAACAAGTTTCTAGTTCAAAAGAGGGGAACAGTGATGAGTTTGATGGTGACAAACTTCGATCCAGTGACGAGTTTCTGGTTTAGGAGTGAGAACCAGTGAGGAGTCTAGGACTTTGGTCCAATGAAAAGTTCCAAGGTTCAGAAGTATGGACCTAGGATGTGTTTTGGTTCCGAGAGAAACCATCGGTGGATGGATAAATCAGTAACATAATCCTGATATTCAAAAATTGGTACCATATGCATTGGAGTAGAGGTGTTAATTGCATTGCATACATAAATGCACTAGTGAATGATGATTGTTGTGGATGATTATTTGTTTCATGATTGACTGAGCTATCTTCGCTGCTTTATGCACCATTAACATTTATGAATTTACTCTCACACCCTGTCTATTTCTATGGTGTTCTTTACCTTTGTCGTATCGATACTTCGGTAGAAGAGCCTTAGTTGTTGTTATGTTATTCTTTACCTTTGAGTTTATTTTAGTTTCGTGTATCGCTCTGATAGTGTAACACTGGGTTGTGTTATATTTACTATATGTGTTCTGCAAGTTGTTTAATTGAATCTCTTTTATTTAAATGAAGTGAT